AGAGAGAGAGAGAGAGAGTGCTTCAGAGCTATAGTAATCCCTGGCAGGTCGCCTCAATAGAGAAATCAGAGTGAGGGTTGAAGAGAAAGGAGAGACAAGATTTTATATAAAGAAGTTTTATATAACCAGGCGTTGATAAACTTACAGAATTGGACTGATATCAAAAGTATTTATCCTGCTTTTTTATAGACTTTAACTTGTGCACTCAGCCTTCTGTGTTACCCATTTGTGTATTGTTCAAGCGGGACCAAGGAAAAAAAGAGCCTCAGACCTTTTGAACGTGGAAAATACTTTTTAACTTCTAAAATACTGATCTGGATTCAGCGTTTCACCACACCATGAGAGCCAAATCTGCCCTCCTGATACTGGGTGAGTCATGTCTGTCATAAGTTGATATTTATTTTTTAAGAATGTACAATTATATGTAGATAGATATACATATATATAAATGACTGTTTGCCTAAAGAAACCTAATAATTGCACCATCTAAATTTTATAATAAGCTGTTTAATTGAACAGAAATCAATTAGTCATATAAAGCTGATCTAATTTCAAGTTATCTTCAAAAAAATCAACAATAATTTCAATTTCCTCATTGAATTTAAACACAACATAGAAATACATTATGACCTCATCTGCTCCTAGCCACATTATTTCTTACCACATTTTAGCCACATGACCAGTCAGTGGAAAAAAACTGTTTTCCTGTCTATAGCAACAAGAAACAGCTAAACGCTTTATTCAAAAGTGGTAGTATTACTGAGAAGATAATTGACTTATTATGCTGCATTGTACTGTATGATTTTAAGAATTATTAGTGTTGAATACAAGGATTAAAATATTAAAGGCTCCATTAAAAGGGTAAACATTTCTTGTCTTTTTTTTTTGTTTGCTTTTCAGCTTTGATCTCTACTGTAAAATCTAAAAAAGAATGCGGTGTTGGATTTAGTTTATATGAAGACAAATGTGTTGGTATGTAAATAAAACAAACTTTCTAAATGGAACAGATAGTTAAATGAGATATGTGTAGCTCTAATAAAAATTAGAAATACTACATTGTTGTTTATCATATTCATAGATATGTATTTTTTGGATAGTTTTTCATTCTTTATTTACTCAAAAAATTCTTTTCATCATTTATAATGTTCTTTCTATATGTTTTTAGTAGTATATTGGAACATTATTTCATTCTGAAATAATTTTTTCACTATTCTCATTCCTTAACGTAGATGATGATGAATGTGCTGATCCCAGACCAATTTGTGGCCCGACAGCAAATTGTTTCAACACATATGGCAGCTTCTACTGCCAGTGTAAAGAGGGTTACAGGTCGCCCTACAGAGCTGTAAATTTAACTGTCGATCAAGCTTTAAAATGTCAAGGTAAGTAGTCTTTATTAATAGTGATGATTGATAATATAATTTATTATACATCTTTTTTCTTTTCTAATCTGTTTCAACAAAGATATTAATGAATGTGATGACAAAGATCTCTGTGGACCAAATACCGAATGTATCAACACAATTCCCAACTACTATTGCACTTGTAAAGAAGGATTTCAGACATTTAATCGCACCGACAACGTCTCATGCATAGGTAACACATTGACTTCCTGTGCCGTGGTGTTCGTTTTGCTCTCCATTTAGAGTGTTGGCTCAGAGTTAGTTTTTCTATGAAATGTTTTTTTTTTCCCCATTTCTTCCCCTCTTCCACACAGATATAGATGAATGTAAAGATAAAAATGTTTGTGGTTCGAATGCAACCTGCATAAACACAAAAGGCAGTTATAACTGCACCTGCAAGGCTGGTTACATACCTAAATCTGGAATTATGACCATTATTGGGGAGAGACAGCAATGTGAAGGTGAGGATTCAGACCTGATATGAGAAGATTTACAGAATCAAAATCCTTTCTTTAAAGATTTAGAAAATTATTATGCTAAATCCACTGTAAAAACATTGAGTTGAAATGAGACATACTAGTTGAACACTGTAATGGCTCTGACTGAAACAAACTGCCACACAATTTGTTTCCCCTTCTTGATTTGTTTCAATTTCCAGATATATGTAAGACTGATGAAACAACCTGTGGAAATGGAACATGCCACCAAGGGACCAGTGGTCATTATTGTGCCTGCTCTGCAGGGTTTACTAACTACGGCAACAAAAAATCTCGTTGTTCTGGTAAGAGTAAAATCAGCTCTTTGTTTATTTTGGACAGCAAATATAAGCAGGTTTTAAGTCTTAGAAGAAAAAAACTTGAAAAAATCATTTTCACAAAGTCAATTAATATTTTTCTTTTTTTAAGAACTGGACTGTGGCATTTTCAGAGATGTCAATAATCTAGCAGAGGTAACTGTTTTTTCTATTTATTTTTACCATCATGATCTTCCTTAATGTCTCTTATCATTGACACCTTTTAAACTGTTTCTTGGTTTGGTTTTAGAATTTTCACATTGTACAGGATGGTGTGAAGCTACTGAGTAAACGCTGCCTAAAGCTCATGGAGAATGCGGATGTAGAAGACCTTAATGGAGAAGGCTTACTAGAGGTAAAATTTGTTTTTAGAAACATATTTTATTCTCAAAGACAACAGACAAGAGGAAGTGTGACTGCTTTATGTTTAATTTTTCCTAAATGCATGATGTTTCCTTTTCTCTCCCCATAATATAGAGCCTGCTCTCCATAATTGACCAAATTTTATCGACTGGGTTTCTCACTAGTAGCAGGAAAGTCTCCAGCTTTCTTGACTTGGTGGAACAAAGTCTAAGTTTCATAGGACCTTTTATTAAACCACCAGGAACTAATAGATCCACCAAACAAACAGGTAAAACTAAAGATGACTGCTTATGAAACAAAAAAATAAAGACTCTCCTTAGACTCCCTTTTGTCCTTTATTACAACAATGTGCTTCTTTGAAGTCTAAATTGCAATGATACTTTCTAAAGGCTGATGGTTTCTACTAAGTAAGTAATTTGAGTTCAGTAACAATTTTCTCACAGAAATGCAGCTTCTGGTGTACACTGGGTC